GGCGTCGGAGCGAGTTTTCGCTCGCCCTGCGGAGCCATGGGCAACCGTGCTGTTTAGTGGTCAGTCGCTTAACAGAGAAAACGGTCTCAGGAACGGGTTATTCTATTGTTTTGTTCCCCTGAGGTGGGCAAGATATTTGGAATTCACTTCTCTTTTCTCGTCGCTTTTGAGATAGTGGTGTCGGGAAAGTACAGTTTTTGCAGAAATTCTGTACAGAAAACTCGCCCTTAACTTGCTGGCGATGGTGTGCTTTTGCTGTTGTACCTTAGTCTGTTTTGACAAGCTGTATAAATGGGTTTGGAAAATATACTTTTCTGCTGATGCCAGCTGTGTGTAACTTAGGTAGGTGTGAGGTAGCAGCTATGCTGAGGAACCTTTAAGTGTAGGCTAGCACATAGTTCTGCAGCACATGTATAGAACAGGGTTAGTAATGCTTCTCAGTGTTACAAATCACTTGGTGGTCCCTAAGTGAAAAATACTGTGCTGTTAATATTGGGCACTTCTGATTCTGCAGGAGAACTCTGATTTCTCATTTTGATTTCCCTATTATTTCTTTCTATTTGCAGCAAACTGAAATTATCATCAAATTATAATTCCTTTTATGTATGTGCTGTTTTTGTGTCATCATCTGTTTAGGCAGCTTGCGATAACTTCTTAACACAAAAAGAAAGCTGTGATAAGCAGGATTCTCAGCTGTCCCCTCTCATCCCAACTTCTCTGCTGAAGTGATAGTAAAGAGAGCAGGACCCACAGGTGGTTCCTCTGAACTTAAGAGGGCAGGACAGCTGCTGCTTATCTGCAAAAAGTATACATGAAAAGGAGCAGTCTTGGAGGAAAATAGTTGTTGTGAAGATAAATTCTGTATCATTTTATTTCTGAGATATTGGTTTAAGGCCTTCTTGTTTCTGTAAGGAGTTGAGTTTTAGTAAGCTGTTTACTAAACTGGGAATATTATGGAGAGATTTAATTTTTTAAAATCATTAAGAGTATTCTTATTCACATCTGGAAACTTTTTTTTTGTACTGAGAATGTTTGCGTAATGCCTGGCTTTGAAGTCTAGCAATAAAGAAAGGTAGCTGCTGCTTTTAAGATAGGTTTTATTTGTTTGTGTTTAGTGAGAGACGCTCCTCATAGAGGAAGTAAAAACCAAAACTGCTTGCTTTATTTAAAACCTTTTCTTGCAAGGTCTAGTGACTGCTTGTCATATATGACTATGGCGACTTGTGTTAAGGACTTGATTTAAATCATGTGAAAGGAGCATGATTTATACTTAGTCTTAATGCTGTTCTTCATTTAGGTTTTCTCTGGGTAACTGAATAGGCTTATACTATTACTATTGTTTTTACTTTTAAATAACAATATATGATATTACTGATGTAGCTATTGTTTTACTTGTTCCTTTTCCTCTAGCTGAAGTTGAGGGAAAGTGGAGCAAAGAATACTTGCACGCAGTTTCTTTTCAAAAGGATGAACAAGATAATGGCTTTGCTTTTTTCTGTTCTAGGGATTCTTGCTAAAGATAAATGACACTGCAGGTGAACAGAATAACCAGAAAGGTAAGTCTGAGTTGATAGGCTAAAAAAAGCTTTGTGGAGGAGAGCTGTATGTATGGTAGTGGTAGTTCATCTACTATTCTCCGTGATGTGACTTTTCAACTTTCAAAGCCATAGAAGTCCTCTAGAAAACTGGAAAAAAAATGCATTTTTTGTTTTGTGTATGGGTGCTATTTAGAAGTTGTTTCTAATGAAAAATAAGGTATTTAAGTGGCTGCTACTAAATTGTGCTAATATAGTGTTTCCAAATTGCAGTTTAATTCTCAACTCCAGTGCTGTGTTGTTGGAGCCCCCAGTACCCTCTAAAATAGCCTGTTTATACACATGGTTGTTAGTTGAATAACTAGTGAATAACTATATTTTTTTTCTTGATGAGCCCTTGTCAGTTTTTTTTAATACTGCTGCATATAGAACTATTTTCTGGCAGGGAGATGGAAGTTGAATACTTACATGGGTGTTACTTTCTTTTGTTTTCTTTCTGTGGGATGCTTGACTTGAGTCTTAAATGTGAAACCCAGGAGAATGTTTTTTTAAAAAAACAACAACAAAAAAAAGGAAGTTGCAAGTTTAACATTGCTGTACAACTATAGCATTTTTTCCCCTTGTTACAACCAGACCTTCCTTCCTTCTTGTTTCACTTAAATGTTTCACTTGGGACTAGTGATCCCAATGCCAGACCTCTGCCTAATGAGTGTTAATCTGTTAGCAGTGTTACAACATGAATTTTTCAGTCTCTTGCCATATTTTCAGCTACTTTTCATTAGCTAGCTCAGAAAGCTTTTCTACCCTGATCTCTGCTTAACACAAAGTTAGTCTAGTTAACTTTCCAGTTAGTCAAAATCAGAGCTCGTAACATCAGTCCTAGCTTTAGTGGAACCTTGGCTGGCTGGCTGACTGCAGTAAAATAAGACTGTATATAATTTGGGAGCTGTGTTTGCCTGCATTTATATATGTAAACACAACTTGGAAAGGGGAAGCTGTTTAGTATAATCGTGAAGAAAGATAACTTAGAACTGTATAAATCCAGTCATTATTGCTGTTAACATCTTTTTTTTTAAAAAAAAGATGTTTAGTCTGAGCACCAGTAAGAGTTTCGTAACTTATTTCAATGCCAATGACATGTTTCTTTGTCCATGATTTTTTTTTAATGAATCTTGAAATAAGTCACTGTGGTCCTGTGTTTACCAGAATGCTGTCAAGGTATTGGAGGTTTTGGAGTCATGCTTATTACTTTGGAGTGTAGATATGGTATGGAAAGTCCAAATTTCCCTAATGGAAGAGATGTGATTAAGTTGGAAGTGTTTTGAATTGGTATCTTACAGAACATGCAAAATAAGCTTAGTTCCAGAGCTGGTCTTATGCCACTGATTGTTTGTTGCGCTGGAATAATATACATTTATATTTATTTTTATATAACATAAACTTGCGTAGACCAAGTGACATCTAAAGTAAGGTAGGCTTGTGCTCGCTTTCTTCTTATTGCCTTCTTGTAACTTGACTAAAGTGATCTTATCTGCTCATATGTACTGTGATATATTCCAGCTGTGCTAGGATAGCCTTACCAGTAAGTCTCCAAATGGAGAAGTGAATTGTTGTGTTCTGATTCTCAGAGCACTGACTAAAGAGTGAAGTAGTTGGATGACTGGTCATCTAGCAGAGATTAACTTAATTTCTAATGTTTGAGTCATTGAAATTCAAACTGGACAGCAGTGAAAATGTGTCCCAATTGACATCTTTATTCCAGATCTGACACTTGATTAGGAGAAGGCTAACAGCTGTGAGTGAAAGGAAAAAGAAGCACAAAAATCGATTGTCTATCTTGAAGAGGAGGTGAAATCTGAATTTCTGCTAGCATTTTTTTCTTGTGGGCTGAAAATCCCTTTAGTTAGGCTATAAAGTGGCCTACAGAATTACATTACAGCATTTATGAAGATGAAATATGATGGATAGGTTTGTCAAAAACCACTTTTTAAAATTCCAATCTGTGAAGTGGGCCTGTCGTACTAGGTCATAGTAAATGAGTTTTGGACGCACTTCTGTAGTTTTGTCACTCAGTACTCAATTCTTCAGTCTTGGTCCTGTTGCTTGCTATTACAGTAATATTGGTAGAGGAGAGGTAGGGCAGGGAGTCATAGTCATCTTACTTTTTTCTTGGTGTTACTTAATACTGCATGAATTTTCTTGTTGTCATACCATTTCTAATAGTTTTGTCAAATCAAATAGGAGTTTACTTTCTTGAGGCTTGTTTTCCATGCAATGAATAAGGGTGAAGAAGCTTTAATCGCAAATATAAAGAAACTTTTATTTGATTGCTTCAGCATGTCAGATAGCAGAAGCTAGCAAAAATGAACTGGTGAATGTTGCAAGCTGTTCTTCTATACCCCTCTTATCTAGTATTCTAGCTAGATGGATCTGAAATTTTAACTATAGGCTGGAAGATTTCTGGCCCATGGATTAAAGGAATGGGTGTTCATGGGGTAGAGGAAACTTGCTGTAAATACGTGCTGTAAGTTCTAAACCTGTGTTAAACTGGTTTTGAGTAACAAGTAAAACGTTAGCCTAGACTGAATTTTTCATAGCATTTTTTTTACTGACCAATAAATGTTCTCTGGCAAACTCCTAAGGAGCAGTAAAAGTGGATCTAATTTTTTTAATGTCTGCAGACAAGGTGGTTTTTTTTCCCCTCCCCTTAACTCCCTGGGTATGGCTTTTGCAACTAGTGAACTAGATGTGATGTCAAGTTCTTAAACTGACAAGTGAAAAATGGTGAAAAGGATTAAGATGTGCAGTTGGAGAAACCAGATCCTAAGTAGTTTCTCAAAGGTGAGATACTCTGACTTTCCATCTGCCAGATGGCAGGCCACAGAGGAGAATAAAGGAGAAAGTTAGCTGCCTAAGAAAGGAGAATATAATGTCTTAGAACAACAGAGCCTAACCAACAGCGTAAAAGAAATTGGTATACTCTTTTTCCAAAGTGGGTTTAAGACAAAGCCAGTGAAGGGAGACGTTGTGTTCAAATAAGACGAAGAGAAAAATGGTTAGGGCCTGCATAAGCTTTTGGACAAAAAGACTGCTTTCAGAGGAATGTATTAAATTACAGCTGAAGGGAATCCTGGTGGTAAGATCCTGACCTTAGTCAGTGTTCTTAAACTCTTGCTGTTTTGCCATATAAGAGTATCTTGGTCTTGATGCTGCTCGTCTAAGAAGAGATGCTGAGATATTTTTAGATTTCGGTCACATTAGATTTTGAGAAATAAAAACGGAAAGAGCACAAGGCAGGATAACCCTGACGTCTGCCTGGAGCACTGCTAGTGGGATGGACCGAGCATCCTCGTGCGGTCAGGCTCGTGAGGAGACGCGGAACTGCGGGCAGCTGGGAGGGGAACCCGATGTGGCGCACCGGTGCTGGCAGCCGCGCGGAGCAGCTCGCCGGCTGGCACGGGCAAGGCGGTGAAC